AAAAAAAAAAAAAAAAAAAAAAAAAAAAAAAAAAAAAAAAAAAAAAAAAAAAAAAAAAAAAAAAAATATTGGAAACCCTAGGATAAACCCTAATTTAGCATAAACCCTAATTTAGAATACTGTAAACCCTCATAAACCCTCATAAACCCTCATAAACCCTCACTGTTCGGTCCATAACCCTTAATAAACCCTACAGTTTATATTATAAACCCTCGTAAACCCTTGTAAACCCTAAATGATTAGTCTATTAAACCCTCATAAACCCTCATTATTTATTTAAGACACATAAGAACCCTTAAACAGGTGCAAACCCTAAACCCTAAACCCTAAACCCTAAACCCTAATAAATTACCTCTTTCCTTCCTATATGCCTTAGTCCATTTAAATTTTTTAGGGTTTCCTTTTGCCTTAAAATATTTATGACATTTAGATCGGCAAAAACGAAAGATTTTTGCATCGTTACGAACAAATACTATACCATGGCCTGTATACAGGAAAAAAAAAAGGGTTTAGGGTTTAGGGTTTAGGGTTTGGGGGGTAGAAGGAAGGAGAGGAGGGGGAGGAGATGGGATTGAGGTAGGGCGTTAAGGAAAGGGGTTTAGGGTTTGCATGCTAGGGTTTAGGGTTTTAATATGTATTATCGAGGGTTTAGGGTTTTAATTGATACAGTCAAGGGTTTAGGGTTTAGGGTTTAGGGTTTAGGTATAGGTCATGCATATAAGGATCTAGGGCTGAGCGTTTAGAGTGGAACACTCTATACCGTACAAACCCTAAACCCTAAACCCTAAACCCTTGCATAATGTACAACCCTTTAGGGTTTAGGGCTTACCGGGATAGATGTTGCTGGAACAGAACCAGCACTTCTCAATCCTCATCTTCGCTGGTGCTGCTGCTGCTGCTGCTGCTGTTGTTGTTGTTGTTGTTGTTGTTGCTCGTGCTGCTGTTGCTGCAGTTGCTGCAGCTGCTGCTGCTCTTCTTGCAGCTGATGAGGGCCACTGCTACTCTTGCTGCCGCCGCAGCTGCTTGCCGCCCTTTGCTGCTTCCGTTTCTGCTGCTACAGTTATGGCGGCTGTTGCTGGTGTTGCTGCTGCTGCTGCTGCCGCTGCTGCTGCTGCGCTAGGAGGCGCTTGAAATAGCGCCTCCTTTACGTCGCTGCAACAAAAATAAAATACTTCTAAACCCTAAACCCTAAACAAAAAACCCTAAAAACCTAAAACCCTAAACCCTAAACCCTAAACACTCCTGTTGGGGGCCCCGGTCGGAAGCCTGTGGGGCCGCGGGCCCCCGAGTGCATGCAGCAGCAGCAGCAACAGCAGCGAGAACAGCAGCAAACAACTAACATTTCTTGTCTGTATAAAAATATCAGTATATATAGTAAATTAGGGTTTAGGGTTTGTACAGAAGACTAGGGTTTAGGCGGCCAGCTAGTGTTACCGGTTACGCAGCAGCCGCTACAACAAACAACCCTACGTAAACCCTTAACCCTAGGGTTTAGGTGTTCGTTAAACACTAAACCCTAGGGTTTAGGGTTTATGAAATAATTAAATTGAATTTAAAATAAAATTATATTTCAATAAGTGTTTTATTATTTAAGAAGTATATTAGGGTTTAGGGTTTAGGAGTCCGACTAGGGTTTAGGGTTTGGAAGGCAGATTAGGGTTTAGGCAGCAAACTAGTTCAGGCAGCCGATCAGGGTTTAGGGTTTAGAAGGCAGATTAGGGTTTAGGGTTTGGATGACAAATTAGGGTTTAGGGTTTAGAGAAAAACAAATTAGGGTTTAGAGTTACGGGTCAGCAAACAAGGACCACTCCAGCAGCTGCAGCAAATCTACAATTGTGGTTTGCTGCTGCTGCTGCTGCAGTTGCTGCTGCAGCTGCAGCACGAAGTAGTTGAGTCCTATGCTCTCTCTGGCGCTTACAGGGACAACCTCTAGCTGCTGCTGCAGCTGCAATTTCTGCAGCAGCAGATGCACGAGCTGCTGCTTCCGCTGCAGTCGCCTTTGCTGCTGCTGCTGCTGCTGCTGTAGTATATAGTCTTGCTGCATTTGCTGCTGCTCGTGTTGCAGTTGCTGGATTTGCTGCTGTTGGCGCTCGAATAGGCTATCAAAGTGCTGCTGCAGTTGCTGCTGTACACGAGCAGCATGCTGCTGCTGCTGCTGCTGCTGCTGCTGCCACAGCAGATCTACCTTCTTAAGGGTTTCTTGTGGCCATAAGTCACACTTAGTTGCTGCTATTAAGGAAGGTCTTGCTGCTAGCAGCGGGGAGTGCAGCAGCAATTGCTGCTGCAGCATGCTTACCGTATCCAACATGCTGCTGCTGCTGCTGCTGCTTCCGTCCGCAGCAGCAGCAGCAGCAGCATCTACTACTAGCACAAGCAGCTTTGCCCCCTCTGCATGCCTAGCAGCGCAGCAAGCAGCCTCATTGGATGCACCAGGCAGCAGCCCAGGTAGATCAGCAATAGAGATGCTCCCCCGCTGCTGCTGCTGCTGCTGCTGTTGCTGCTGCAGCATAACATGACCGATCTGTGGCTTTGTTGTGCTGTGGGGCCACGGTGCTGCTGCTGCACTGCAGCGGGAGAGGGAAGACAGCAGCAGGGATTTACCTGCATTAGGGAACCCTATAAGTGCAGCATCTGCTAGCAGCAGCAGCTGCAGCTGCAGCAGCTGCTGCTGCCCTGCTTCCCCCTTCTCTGCTGAATAGGGACATCTCCTGCTGTTGCCGCTGCCCCCTCTACCTCCTTCTGCTGCTACCATCTCTCTTGAGTGCAGCAGCGGCTGCAACAACTGCAGCACAGCAGCAGCAAGCTCATCTAAGGTGCTGCTGCTGCTAACTTTTCTGTTGCCTGCAGCAGCAGCAACAGCAGCAGCAGCAGCAGCAGTCGGGTCAAGAAGACCCAAGAACTTCTTGCCCTGCTGCAGCTCCTCCTCTCCTTCCTCACTATATGCATATTCTGCTGCTGCTGCTGCTGCGTCTTCTTCTTCTGTTGCTTCTTCTTCTGCTGCTGCTGTGTCTGCTGCTGCTGCGTCCTCCCAAGGGGCCCCTCCCTCCCAGGGGCCCTCTTCCTCCTCCTCTTCCTCCTCCTCCTCTTCCTCTTCCTCTCCCTCTTCCTGCTGCTGCTGCGGCTGCTGCAGTGACCATACAGCACAGCTACTAGGCAGCAAGACAGTTGCTGCTGCTCCTTCCTTACCCTTGCAGTACTTTTTTTCTCCGTCCCCTCCGGGGCCCCCCCTAACGTACCCTTTTATACCACTTAAATCTTCTACACAGCCACTTAACCCTAGGGGCCCCCCCCATAGGGTACCCACCCAAGACGGCCCCACACCGCTGCTGCTGCTGCTGCTGCTGTGGGGCCCCCCAGCAGCAGGACTGGTGGGAGTGTTTGTATGCATGTGTGTGGCGTATGCGGGGCCCCCTTGAATGCCATAATCATCTGCTGCTGTTGCTGCTGGTGCTGCTGCTGGTTCCCCCTGTACTCCTTGGGGGCCCCTTATATATGGGTACTGTAGCTGCAGCAGGACGGGGCCCCCATTACCTCCTCTCCCCCCTGCTGGTTGCCCAGGCCCAACAATATAATGCTGAATATGCTTAATAAAATATAAACAACCATCTCCTCCTCTTCCTCCTATTACACGAACTATACGACGGTCACAGTAACTCTTGCTGCTGTTGCTGCTGCTGCTGCTGCTGCTGCGGCGGCTGCGGCTGCGGGGGATGAGGTAGCTGCTGGTGGTGGTGGTTGTTGATGGGCTGCTGCTGCTGCTGTTGCTGCTGCTGCTGTTGCTGTTGTTGTTGCTGCTGATGGCAGCTTTTGACCTCCACAAAGAGCTGCCTCTGATGGAGGACAAGCGAATGACTTCCTGCTGCGGCTTTTCCTGCTGCTGCTGCTGCTGCTGCTGCTGCTGCTTGTGTTTCTGTTGCTGCTGCTGATGCTGCTGAGTGAAGTGTCTTCTGCTCGGCACACGAGAAAAGGCAAACCCGCTGCAGCAGCAACAGCAGCAGCAGTTGCTGCAGTTGCTGCAGCAGCTGCAGAAGCTGCTGCAGCGAGCATTAGGCAGCAGCCTGCGGCCGCGACTCACAAGAAGTCTGAGCATAGCAGCAAACAAGAGAAGCAGCAGCAGCAGCAGCTGCTGCTGCTGCTGTACTGGCACACAACAGCAGGAGAAGGTACCCTACGGGTCTTGCTTAGATGCTGCCTCGGTAGCTTCCTCTGTAAGGGTTTGTGTCCTCTTCAAAGCCCTGCCGCAGCAGCTGCTGCTGCACAGCTGCAGCGGCAGCAGCAGCAGCAGCAGCAGCAGCAGGTAGGCCCGTAATGCTGCAAGTCTTTGAAAGAAAGTAAAGAATAAATTATTTCAGGGTTTATTGACCTCAGGGCATAGAAGACAAGACATGGGGCCCGCTAGCTAGGGGCCCCCTTGGGGGGCCCCTAGCTAGGGGGCCCCCCAAGAGGGGGGGGCCCTTCCCACATCTCATAGGAGAGCAGGAGGGGGTTGGAGGGCCCCCTAGGGGCCCCCCTCTGCCCTCTCTCTCTTTGTGCGAATGTATATTTTGTTTTTTATTTATTTTTTGTTTTTTACGGAGAAGGAAGAAACACCAACGCCTTAAGAGGCCTGCAAAGACCTGCAGCAGCAGCAGCAGCTGCTGCTGCTGCTGCTCTTGTTGCTGCGTCTGTTTGCTGTTGCTGCAAGATCTGCTGCTGCTGCAGTTTGCCAAATGGAACTGCAGACAGCAGTAAAGCCACAGATAAAAATTTGTTGCTTAACGCACCCCCTAGGGTTTAGGGTTTAGGGTTTAGGGTTTGAGACCCTAAGCCAGAACCCTTATCCCTGCTCTCGGGGGGAAGAGAACAGCCATGCAGGTGACGCAGCAGCGTCAGCTTCTGCTGCCTTTGCTGCTGCTGCTCTTCGTGCTGCAGCAGCAAGCGGTAGGAGCTTCCGTTCTTTTGCTGCAGTCGCGGCTGCCTCCCATAGCTTTCTTGGCCAAAGACACAGCAACAGCAGCAGCAGCAGCAGCAGCTGCTGCTGCTGCAGAGGGCGGCGTTTGTTGGAATACAGCACTGCCACGTTGTGCAGCAGCATCACACTCAGCAGCAAGAACAGCAGCAGCAGCAGCAGCAAATGCCAGTGCTACAAGCGGGCCAAGTAGCTCTGCTTCCGCGGAGGATGCTTCGTCTGCTGCAGCATTAGCAGCAGCAGCAGCCGCAGCTGCAGAACAATCCAAGGAACCCGCTGAGGACCAGCAGCAGCAGCAGCAGCAAGAGCAGCAGCAGCAGCAGCAGCAGCGCAGCACGAAGCGGCGATCTTTAGAGAATGCATTAGAGGAGGAAATCTCTGATGGCAGCGAAGACCTTTGGGCATTTAATGAAAAAGATCCCGTTCCTTCAGGTGTACGTACAGAGGGTTTAGGGTTTAGGGTTTAGGGTTTAAGGTTAAGGGTTTAGTGTTTATTGTTCATTGTCTAGGGTTTGCTGTTCATTGTTTGGGATTTAGGGTTTGCGGTTCATTGTTTAGTGTTTAGGGTTTGCTGTTCATTATTTAGGGTTTACGGTTCATTATTTAGTGTTTAGGGTTTAGGGTTTAGGGTTTAGGGTTTAGGGTTTAGGGTTTGTTATATACAGGCAGCAACTCAGAGATTATTATCCGTTGCAAATCGTTTGGCATTGCGAAGACATCCAACAGACACGGGGAGCAGCGAAGTACAAATAGGAATTCTTACAGCAAGGTACGTAAACCCTAAACCCTAAACCCTCGAAACCCTCGAAACCCTCGAAACCCTCGAAACCCTCTAAACCCTAAACCCTAAATTATCTAAACCCTAAGTATTCCTTGAGGCTGATAGACTGGGAAAAATAAGGGTTTGTTGGAGGGCTTAGAACCAGCAGGATTTGTAGCATCAGACTGAAGAAATGTCTGCGCGTTAGGGTTTAGGGTTTAGGGTTTAGGGTTTAGGGTTTGGGGTTCAGGATAAGCCATCTTACCCGCCATCTTCTGCAACACAGAAAAGATTTTGCAACCCTAAGAGGCCTTAAAGTTCTTGTTGCAAGACGCCGCAGGTACGCTGCTGCTGCTGTTGCTGCTGCTATTGCTGTTGTTGCTGCTGCTGTTGCTGCTGCTGCTGCTGCTGTTGCTGCTGCTGCTGTTGCTGCTGCTACTGCTGTTGCTGTGTTTATCTTTGGGCTTGCTGCTCATCTCTTCACTGCCTGCGCAAGCGCTGCTCCTCAGAGGAATCATGAGCTGCTGCTGCTGTTGCTGCTGCTGTTGCTGCTGCTGTTGCTGTTGCTGCTGCTGCTGCTGCTGCTGCTGCTGCTGCAGACTTTTGAAGTATTTAGGGTCTCGTGACTTTGAGCGTTATTGCCAAGTCCTCCGTCTATTAAATATTAAACCCGTCACCTTACCAGGTAAACCCTAAACCCTAAACCCTAAACCCTAAACCCTTGGATCCCCTAAATAATATACCCAAAACCTGTATAGATGCTGACCTTAAACTCCAAACCCTAATCTACACACTGCAAACCCTAAACCCTAAACCCTAGAGGCGGTCTTAAGCCGTTTGAGCATTGCTTTTGCTGCTTTTTGCTACTGCTGCTATTACTGCTACTGCTGCTGCTGCTCTTGCTGCTGCTGCTGCTGCTGCTGCTGCTGCTGCTGCAGGTAGTATGGATTTGCTACTACGGGAGAATAGATACTTAGGGAAGCCAAGTACAAACAAAGACAAGAAGAGGAAGCAAGCAGCAATGAAGAAAGCAAAGGCATTACAAGCATATAAAGAAAGACAAGAAAGAAGGTACTGCTGCTGTTGCTGCTGTTGCTGCACTTGCTGCTGCTGTTGCTGCTGCACTTGCTGCTGCTGCTGCTGCTGCACTTGCTTCTGCTTCTTCTGATGCTGTATTTGCTGCTAGTGTTGCCGAGATAGTCGGTGGTTGCTGCTGTTGCCTCCTGGAGGCTTGCTGCTGCTCTTGATGCTGCAGCAGCAGCAGCAGCAGCTGCTGCTGCTGCTGCTCTACCTGCTACTGCTGCTTCTGCAATTCCAAGTGCTGCTGCTGCTGCCGTTGCTGCTGCTGCTGCAGGGCTGAAGAGGAGAGACGGCTGCAGCAGAAACTACAAGTGCGGCCCTCTTTGCTGCTGAAGGCCTTCGAAGACGGGGCCCCCAACTCAGAGGGGGCCCCCAACCCAGAGGGGGCCCCCAACTCAGAGGGGCCCCCCAATACAGAGGGGAGCCCGAGTTCCGATGGTCCCATCGGGGGCAACCCTGCATAAAGGGGCCCCCCAAATCAGGGGGCCCCTACAACTCAGAGGGGCCCCCGTGGGGGGGAAGGGGTGCCCCCCTCATAGAAGTACCCACTTGTTTATCTGCTGCAGCAGCAGCAAGCAACAAGATTATTTGTTAAGGTCTATGAATTAGGGTTTAGGGTTTACGGTTTAGATTAGGGTTTAGCTTAGGGTTTAGTGTTTAATAGAGACAGCGGCATCTATAAAGGGTGCCATAGAGGCACACACACAAACAGCGGCACAGCAACAGTAGCAGCAGCAGCAGCAACAGAAACAGCCGCAACACCAACAACAGGAATAGCAGCAGCAGCAGCAGCAGCAGAAGCAGCAGCAGCAGCAGCAAGAAGAACAACACCCCCGGCGGGACTCGAACCCGCAACCTTTGGATTAGAAGTCCAACGCGCTATCCATTGCGCCACAAGGGCTTGGTGCTATCGTTGCAGCAGCAGCCCTATCAGCGAAGGAAGCAATTAATCACTCTTTTCTCCCCTCCTACTCCCTTCTGCCGGGCCCCACACCTCTAAACCCTAAATAAGTGTGTGTTTAGGGTTTAGGGTTTAGGGTTTAGGGTTTGTTAGAGGGTAGCTTATTTGCAGATTAGAGTGTTTATGGTGTATAGTGGGGTACCAGGGATCAAAAAGAATGATTTTTTGTTGTTAATAATGTTTTTATGGCTATATATTAATTAATAATATAATTTAATGATTTAATTTAATATATAAATACATAAAAAAGAAGAAAAATATACAAAAGGGGCACCCCCGGCGGGACTCGAACCCGCAACCTTTGGATTAGAAGTCCAACGCGCTATCCATTGCGCCACAAGGGCTTGGTGCTATCGTTGCAGCAGCAGCCCTATCAGCAGCAGCAGCGGCAGCAGCAGTAGCAGCACTGCATGCAGCAGCAGCAACAATCCAGTTCGTCAGGGACACCCCCGGCGGGACTCGAACCCGCAACCTTTGGATTAGAAGTCCAACGCGCTATCCATTGCGCTACAAGGGCTTGCTGCTGTGGTTGCAGCAGCAGAAGCAGCAGCAGCAACAGCCAGAGCAGCAGCAGCAGCAGCACTGCATGCAGCAGCAGCAACAATCTAATTAGTTAAGGACACCCCCGGCGGGACTCGAACCCGCAACCTTTGGATTAGAAGTCCAACGCGCTATCCATTGCGCCACAAGGGCTCGGGTGTACAGGCACCTCCTTATTCCCTATTTATGCAAAATAATCAAATTAATCATTATTTTTATCTATTTATTCATTAAATTAATTAAATTATCTTTTTATTTTACTTTTTTCTCCCTTTTATGCACTCATAATACACCAACAACTCCTTTATTACCAATAGTTTATTGGGGGGCCCCCCTCCCTGCCTGCTCAGCCTCTACCCTATAGAAGGGAGAGGTAAGGGGGGCCCCCCTACTTTTTCTAAACCCTAAACCCTAGGGCCTAAACCCTAAACCCTAAACCCTACATATAATATTATTTTTCTTTCTTTGTCTTTTAGTTAATATACA